GTGGGGATGGATGGAGGCAGTCAGTCATTCAAATTTCCACTAAATTTTCCAGTGAATAGCAAAATAGATGCTGCGTTTACTTTCTGACAGACTCAGAAACAGAATTATAAACTGATTCAAGTAAAAATCTGTGTTTTTGGAAAGCAGCAGGAAGCTGGCGCTAGTTGAACTGACTCACATCGTTCTGTGTGACTCCTTGTTTCCCTGAATCTCTACGACAGAAATGGACAGTACCAAGTTAGCGTGACGCGTGTATCCATATCAGACATATGAAATGGAAAGAGTGAATGTTAGTGAGTGACGTACCACATGGTTCATTAGCTAAGCTTGTCTCATTACATTTTTCACTGTTTTTTCTCAGTCAAATGTCATCTTCACACAGGGTTTGTGGAAACTGAAAGCGTACATCGAGACACTTCGAATGTCTCCATCCTTATGTTGCACCAGTAGCAGGTTTTAAGTCTCGGTGAAATCTCAATCAGCCACAGACGCCTTCTGGTTCATTTTTATGCACTGTAATGATGTGGAAGTTAAAATATTGACAAGGAAGGAAAATGTTGCAGCAACACAGAACGGAATAACTGATGAGGTGACGGGAAGCCAGTCAGTGAAGAGCAGACACACACTATTACATCTAAATCACCACAATAAGAAAACCTACACGAGGGAAAAATCTGTCTTTTAGTTTTTGCTTTGCTGTGATGGTATCAGCAGGCGTGTTGGTGAATTCTCATCTCTCCTTTCTTAAAGTACGGCTAAAATTCAAGGCTTGTTAAACATGATGTGTGGCTCACTGTCTCGTTTGTGGAAAATCTTCACACCTCCAGGCTTTATTCTGCCAGCTTCACCGTACGTGAGCCGGCAAAAACCCAAGACAAAGTAGATAACGCAATATCTATGACTTAATTACCAAACTGGGAAGATATGCTGTTTGTAGGGCTGGTATTGTGAAAGCCTCCCTCGAAAAGATTGTGAGAAAACATGCGCTGGCAACCTGAAAACCCACTGGCAGCTTTGAAAGGAAGGTTTTCCTAAAAAAAACAAAAAAAACTGCCAACATTAAAATGTTCACCTGAGCCAGAAACTGTGAAAACAAAAAGAGTCTCAGATTTTCGACTTTCCGACGATCCTGGAATGAATCATCTGTGACATATGGTTGTATCGACTCAAACAACCAAGTCTAAGCTAAAAACCTGGGTTTTTCATCAAAATCACTTCATGCTACGTCTCATTTAAATATCTGACAAAAATACAACAACAATAATAATAATAATAATAATAATAATAATAATAATAATAGGAACAATGATGGTAGACTAAATGCAGAATGGTTAAAGCCAGCACACAGAGGGGCTCAAAATGCTCAAAAACTGCTTCAGAGGCTAAAACAATATGATGTCTCCTCTCTTCTTTCCTCTCTCCAGCATCACTCACTTCTAGTTAAACTGCAAAATGTCTTGCAGATGAACTACTTTTATTCTTCAGTAAGCATATATGTGCCCCCAGTATAAATCAGGTTCAGCTAGTGGGAAGAGGGCCAAAACACTCGATCGTTCCAATGAAGATAACAGCGCCACATCCTGTCAGGCTCTCCTTAAAGGCAGCTATGGTGTTGCACTTGGTCGTACAAACAAGAAGTAAAGACTACAGCGAGAAGTTGCTTACTTTTATGTCTCTGAAGTCAGCACGTTTGCTGAAATTGCTGTTTTGAAAAGCTACAAAATCCTGCAAGCACAGACTACTAGTGGAGGGAAATTCATGCTTTCTGCATCCACATGTCTGCAAGGGTCTGCATTATGTAAATCTGGCCATCCACCCAAGTCCGCCCGGGTCTGCGCAGAACCCTCTGAGGACATGCATGTGCAGCCCAATAATCGTGAGTGTGCTGACGATCTGCACTGTGAGCGCGCCAACTGCACATGCACCAGGAAAACACATGCTGCTTAAAACAAATGCTTGTTATGGTAATAGGCTATGAGAGGAGGGGACTCTCACTACTCATAAAGTTGTAATTGAAGCTGTTGCTGCTGGACTGTGAAGGAGCTTTGATTTATACATCCTTTCCATTTACGGTGGTCAAACACAGTGAAAAGTCTGCATGTCACCAGAAGTGCGATGCTGTGTCCACCCACTGTGCCCGGCACACCTCAGCAGGAATCAGACCCACATGGTGCTACTGCTCCATCTGCAACCAGCTCGTATGGATCCTGCTGAGGTCTGATTCTGTTGGTATTTAAAAAACTCAGAGGAAACAAACTAATCTTCAGCTCCTTTCAACATTTCCTCAAAACCTGGATAACATCCGTTATTGGCGTCCCTTATTAATCTGACCTGTTCTGCCTTCATTGCAGTAAAGGTGTGTTTTCTTGGACATTTCAATGCGTAACAGATGCAAAGTTGTGTTTCAAACTGAATGGGAAAGACCTTTTGTGATTTCAGCAACAAAGTGTGTCGCCTGTGACTTTTCTGACCCAGTATCGGTGCTGAAATGAAACGAAACCTCACTTTTAGTAGCTCTCAGATAACGGCAACGAGTCTGAAAGGGGCTGGGGTTAAAGCTGGAACCACCTTAAGCAGCCACAGCAGTAAATGCTGCTCAGATATTAATCAGCGTTAACGACAACTAGTATGAGTCAGTGTGGACTCTTCTGCAGAATGAGTGCTTTTACTGATTTTTTTAAGCATGGTTTGCTGTAAATGCTGTAATTTTAGGAGGACAAAATTATATGTTGTATGCTGTGATTTTACTTGTTTTTATGTTTAAATATTTTAAGGTTGTTGTATTTCTACTTGGAAGGTAATGAGAACCTCTTCCACTACAGCCTGCACCACTAGACAGTTCTGATAGCCTTGTTCTGCATCACTTACCATCAGTTGTTGGTGCAAATAAGTCCTTTTGCGCTAACTGTGTTGACTTAATTCAAGTCAGTTTTATTTAAATACAGTTAATTCACAACATATGTCATCTCACAGACCTTCACATAGAAATGGTGGAGAATTTAAACTTAGTCTTTGGTTAGCTACTGAGGTTGTCACAAGCTTTCTGATTCATGAACAATTAAAATTCATTTAGCTGTATCACTTTCTGACGTTACCATGAAAGGGACAGTGGTATTCTAATGTCCTTCCTGCTTGAGAGGACCTTCATCCAGACATTACTTCAGTCCAGTCTCAGTCCCACCAATATACAGGCTTCTCCAACTCTGAAGGAGTCACATACAAGCTTAAACACACTGTGCTTATAATCCCCTGTTCACTGTTAACGATGAAACAAATGGCAAAATTAGCATGGAAATGGAAGACTGATGATGTCTGCTAGTTTGGTCCCTGGATGTTCTCAGTATGTCCAGGCTAACATATTGCTCTTTTTTAAATCCGACAGTGGGGTGTTTCAAATCCACGAGAAGCTGAAAATTGTACGGCTCATCAGATACTGCAAATCTGTCAATATGCCCCGTTGTGTCTTAGCATGGTGTTTGTAGAACACTGACAACATAGAACGTCCGTCTGGTAAGTTGTCCGTGTACACTCGGAGGGCTCTGTGTGTGTGTGTGTGTGTGTGTGTGTGTGTGTGTGCACATGTACATGGAAATACGTATCAGCAGATGCAAAGAAAACATTCAGCCACAGCACCACCAAGAGGAAACTGGTTCCAATGTACCTGCACCTCTTCATAGAATAATAGACAAAGCCATGGTTCCTCCTTGAAACTTATACATTAGGTAATAGAACATTTCCCTTCAAAGACACCACTGGTATCTGGAGCAGTTTGTTTTTTTTGCCTTAAATTTTTGTTTTGTTTTGTTTTTATTTTTTAAATGTACCCTTCGTATTTGTCATGACAGAGGTTTGTGCTATGATATGTCTCCAGATGTGACCTGAGAGCCTTCATCAACGATTGTGACCAAACCCCAAACCATCCAAACAATCTCAAAGTGACCTAGTTTCTACCAAACAAAACCCAAAGTACCAGGAATCTAGAGGGAAACCTTTTGAAGAATTGTGTTTGGATGTTCCTCACCAAACGGCTACCTATGGGATTGTAGATGATCTACACAGGCCTGTGTCTTTGATGTTTTATGTTCCTGCTTTGCCCTGAAGGTTTAACCAAGAGGATTTCATGTTCATCTGATCCTTGGAGGTGCTCTAATTTCATTTTACTTAACATTATGACCATCAAAAATATCTGGAGGTCGAAACAAGTCCTCACACTTTAACACTCCACAGAACTTGCAGAACATCTGAACACAGCACAGGAAGGTTCCTGTTTACATGCAAGAGAGCATTCACTCAGTTAAAGACAGTACCTCATGAGAAGACTGAGCTCTGTGAGTGTGGCTGTAGATCAGTACCTGTCCATAGAGAGCTGGGCGACAAGAGTGACGTCAGTGTTGTCAGAGCTGGGTTCGTACTCATAGTGGAGGAAGTAGAGGTGTGTTCGATGGACGGTGAATCGCTCTCTACGAAACTCGTAGCAAGGATCATCTTCATCTAGCTCTGACAGAGTCTTCTGGAGCTGTGGACAGAGAGAAGGGGTACGCCATCAGTAGGACTATGGACCAGAGGGTTTATTAGGGAGGATGCTGGCTTGAGTTGCTGCATCGGCATATTCTATAACATGTTCAGAAAACAAAAAGAGCTGTCCTTATTTACACAGTAAAATATGCCAGGGTTATGATGGTTTTCTGTGGTGCTGGAGTAATCATAGCTGTGCTAACTAGCTAAAAGGAGTTCAGTCTTCAGACTGTGAGCGCTGCAAGCTGCTACAGAATACACAGGCCTGGAAGCATGACTGTATGCCAAACAGTTTTAGTCATGTCCACCCTACTGCTGAGCATGTGCACGACTGCCCCTTGTAGCGTAGTTGCTGCTCGGACTGTCCGTGTGGATTCAAATTTTGAGCTGCACATGGATGTCCACAGAGGAGATGACAAAATTTAAATCATGTCAGCAGACGCTGTTGTCTGAAGATCTGTCGATATGCACCACTGTGTCTGAGCATGATGTTTGCAGCACCCAAGGGTTAGCTAGGGCCTGTGCAACGCAAACTTTGTCATCTCTACAAGGCAGCAAGATCTCTGAAGCCCCCTCCATTGATGTAGATATGCAGCCCAAACTATTCTGTCAGGAACAATCGTATACTTGTTTACAGTATTGTGTAGAAGGCGTAGATATGACCTAGAGCGGACAACAAAAGTAAAATAATTCCAACAACTACACGGCTGTAATGTCCACAGCTTGCCACAGCTGAGTGTAATCGGGGCCCAATGAGAAACAAGGAACCTATTATAAGCAACTTGTCCAACACTGTTTCCAGATCTGTGATCATGGTGTGATGACATTGTGGTTAGAAACCAATGTTTCTCCAATTTTGGTGTTAGAGGTCGTCTCCACACAAAGCTATGTACAAACAGCTTGTGGTGGGTTTTTGACCTGATCGGTATCGGCAACAACCTCGGCCTGATCTTTTGTTTACAGCTGCCGTCACGCATGCATTGTATATTTGAGTAGTTTTCTTCAAATGTGCAGCAATATCAATCACTAACTGATTAAGGAACAATCTAGATGAACTCTTTACTGGTCATGGTACTGCTGGATAAACCACAGACAAATGATACGGCCAGTCAAAGTAACGTCTACATACACCCCCATGATGCTCTCTGCTTGCCAACACAGATGTACCTGCCTCCTCTAGTCACTAACCTATTAAACAGTAAGAGGCTCTATCTGGTGTCACACCCAGGTACTAAGACTAATCCACAATACTTGAGTGTCGGCAGATACTAAAGACTACATGACTGGGATTAGGATTGGGATTGAGATCCATAACCCTAACCCTGGTTTTTCTTTTTCTGAAAAATGACGTTCAAGCACCTGGTTAGACGTTAATAGAAGCTATGTATACGCAATATTAAGAAGTGAACAATGAGTTTTACGATTACATGCCACTTCTACACCTCCCCTTCAGAGAGGCATAGCTCTTGTGTTGGCTAAAGACGTTTGCTTGGTGTATGTTAACACCGTCACATGGAGGCATTTGAATTAACAAATGACTGTTCACAGGAAAACCTCTAAAGTCCATGTGTATGCTGTGTATGTAGTGAAGAGTTGCTTCTGATTATACTGAAGCAACATGGGTTAAGTTTTAAAGGCTTTTCTGTCTCAGTCTGCCACAGCACCGCTGACCCAGATCTCCAGTATAACATCTCCTTTATAAGTCAATTAAGCAGCAAGCTGTCCTAATTTAATGCAAATAAAATGCAGTTTTCCAATTAACTGTGCCTGATTAGCTCTTGTTAACTTTCTGATGAGATGTCACATAAACTGTGATACTGCATTTTTTAGGGACAAAGCTGAGACCTTCTGTACACGGTGTGCAGACTGTAGAAGTGTTCACGATACAAAACATCAACCAAAGGATGAATGGAGGACAGCATTCTGTCCTCAGCTCTGTCAAACCTCAATTCATTTAAAGTGAAGAGAGGCACACCACAGTGCTACTGGTTAAGCTGAACAAAGGGCAGACACTTTGGGCAACAGCAGAAAGAAGTGGTCGACGGTCTGAGAACTTGGTGTGTGGTGTTGTTCTGCTCTGAACACTGTGATCAGTGGAGCTGCAGTGAGTGACTGGGCTGCAGTGGCACTGTGGCCCTGAGGGAGCATGGTCTGCAATGTGCTGCTACAGCCAATCCCTCTGTGACTTCATTAGGCTAATCATCACTTTAATGGGATTTAAATCGCTGCTCAAACTCTGAAAAATTGAGTGAGCAAACTATTTCCTAAGTTAAGGACACATTAGAATTGACTGTTGGCAAAAAAAAAGGACCTGGCACACCATGATGGAAAATTATAATGTGATTAACTGACCACAGAGCTGACACTTAAAATAATCCGACAGCCCGTAGAGGCTGGTCCTATGAAAACTCATCTCCATGGTGACCTCCAGTAGAAGCTGAGATGTGAAGGACCAGCTGCCCGAATGATAAAGGAATCTGTACAGTATGCTGCACACTTAAGGAGTATGCCCAGGCCCCAGTGAACTTTAAATTAAGTCGGGTTCAATCACATTTAAAGTTTAGGGGTCTCTATTGGTTGTGACTGGGCACACTGGAAGGCAGCCTGAAAAGCTTGTGGCTGTAGCTTTCCACTGACTGTGGCCCACAGACTCCATCATGTTTTTGTAGAAATTCTGTATCCTTTGTCTCTCTTTGTAGTCTCAACATGATGAATTGTGAATTGCAAAAACATGCTCCCACAGAAGACAATTTATTGCGTTGCACTCACCAGTACAGAAGACTGTGTCAACATTCTCCCTTTAGTTCAAGTGGATACACTTGAACCACATGTACACAATGAGATGTGAGCGATATGTATGAGGTCCTGCAGCATCCATCTGTTCAGTCCACACTGACACTGTGGGGGCTCTCACCATCACAGAACCAGCTGTTCTTTCAGAACAAAGGCCAGATAACCTGTCTTCACCACCACCAACTACTGTTGGAGCTCCCAGGATGGAAGTGTTCGTCAGTTGGTTGGCGCACCACAGTATTCCCAGCTGAAATGTTGTGATCCTAACATCTACTATTATTTATTGAAAGGCTAGCCATGACGCTTTGGATCAAATCCTACAGAATGTTACTTTCGAATACGGCCATTGACATTTGAGTTTGATCGTTTGGTACATAAGCAAATACCTGCAGAGCGAATGATGTTCCAGCTGCTTCCCACTGTACCGTGTTATCAGTGTCAGTTAGAAAACTACACCTGCATTGATGTCTGATAGAAAGCTTAAACAGTCGCCTTGTGGAGGAGGTTCTGATTTGTAGATCAGTGCTGGATTCAAATCCATCATTAGAATCATTGGAAACTTGAAGGAGGAAACAGAACACCTACGTTCACCAGTGATCGTTTGGCTTCTCGCAAACTGAGGTTGCATTTTGAGGCAGTGCAAGTAGGCTATGTGCAGCTTTACCCCCTAAACAGACTCCTATAGAAGGATTACTTCTGCAGGGTTCTGGTATCCCTATTCCCTGTAGCTCAACATGTTTGTAAGAAAATTCACAGAAAACTGTGAAAAAAAAAAACAATCAGACGGACAGAGTTCAAGTATCACAGCAGATTACAATGTTTGCATGAACGTCTCTTTAACCCAACTGTTACAAAATGAAGTGGATGTCTTCTATAAGTAATGAGTAAAGGATGTCTAAGACACAGGTAAATAAGGAGCTGCGTTCAACCACTGCTAACTGAGCTTTCTAACTGTAAATATGCATGACAGCTCCAGTGTTGACACAAACACGGATGTATGAGAGCGAATCCTCACATAGTCTGCAGTCTGCAATGTTAAGAAGCCAGGTTCTCTTTCTGTATTCAGTGCACCCGTGAAGTAGACGAGTCAGCGGCAGCACCTCTACTGTATATGTAGTGCAACACAAAATAGACAATCACAGGCAGAGTCAAAGGTGGCACAACAAAGCTGTGCCTTCTGAGACCAAGCACAGTAACAGGCTGTTTGTAGAAAGCGGTCTCTGCAACCAGCCACATGTCTCACCACATAATGGCTTTAAAGCACAATTTTGCTGTTTGTCAACTTTTATTAAAGGAAACAGGAGGACAAAGTGAGCAGGACAGTTTTCTGTTGTTTTCAGTGTGGACAGCAAACCTGGTTCAGCTGAGGCCACATGTTGAACGTCTCAGTAACATGTAGTTTATGGTGGGCAGGTGTGTGTTGGTCCACCATGTGCTTATTCTCTTATTTACTCTTGTGGAGTAGGTGATTGAACACCTAAAAGATAGCTGCCGTTTATTTCAGCCCAGCCTGTTTTCCAGTAAGGCTGGCTCTGTACGTCACGCTAACTTTGTACTCTCCACCTCCACTGCAGAGGTTCAGGCAGCTGAGGAGCTGAGCAAACAGCGCACACTGAGGCAATAAGAGCTCTACAGCTTACTGAGAATAAAAAAAACACATTTTAATTATTTAAAACATTTGTTTTTAGTTTAACTGAAGGTAAATACAGCTATCTGGCTGATCTGATCCCCCTGCATTAGGTCGGCCCTCATACATCCATCCACTCATGTCCTATTGTTGTTCTTTAATGTGCGGGAGGCTGTGGGCATCTGGCAAGTATCCTCATGGAGAGCCCTCACAAAGTTAGCAGATTGGCTGTGTTTAACCATGCCTTATTCAATTCAATTCTCAATTCAATTTTATTTGTACAGCGCAGTTTACAACACATGTCATCACACAGCACTTAACATGGTCAGATATAGACCTTACACATTCAAACAGAGGACCCAACAATCCAAAGCAGCCTCTGGACTTCCTCTGAACAAGCAGCTGGCAACGGTGGGTACTCATGTAGAGGAACTGTTCAACACTGATTTCAACATCCTCGTTATGATCCGTTTAAACCTTGCTCTCCCCTTAAATCTTTTATTCTACTTGTTTATGTGTCAAACTAGATGTTTAACATGACTGATGGTTATATCTGCATATTTAGACTTGTTTTGTGTTTTCTGTCTGTCCACCAGGAGTACAGATATAGAATCGAGGTATCACAGTGTTGGACTATTTAGAAATCATGAAACTACTAAGAACTATGTGACAGTGTAACTCTGTGAGGGCAGCCAGGACATCAGCCCTCTGCGACGGAGGTTGTGCCAGACCCCCCTCCTGAGTTCATGACATGCAAAAGTCCTCTTTAAAAGACCACACCTGAAAGCACCACTTTGACTCCTCTGCTTTAAGAGTCCTCCTTCCTGATTCGTCCTTCCTAAGAGGCCTGCCTAAGTCCTTCCTAATTCTGTCAGACTGACTTGGAGGTTCCACTCTGTCTGACCCGCATCCACAGGCCGGTCCAACCAACCGTCAGCAGAACCACCGTCACAGCATCATGACGTGCATACAAGTAACTTTCAGTTCCTGAAACCGTGCAAAACTCTAAATTCTCTCTTTTTTTCTTTTGCGAAGATAAATTCCTGCAAGTTTCCAAACTAGCCAACCATCAAATCAAAGGCTGCTTTCATGTGGTCCGTTCCTCTCAGAACACCAGGCTACACTTCTTCTGTTCCTTTACTCACACTGACAGCATTGTTTGTCTTAATGTGTGTTAAGGGTTTCTCATAGTTAGTCGTTGTTGTTGTGTTGTTAGTTTCATAGAAGTTTAATTAATGTAGACAAATATACGATCAGACTCTCCACTGTTCTGTTGTTCACACTTCGGTCACTAACTTGTGTAGATTCCCAGCCACAGAGCTTTTACAAACAACTTTCAGTCTAAATAATTTCCCCGATCATTCCTGAGGCTCCTGTCTGCACAATAGGAGGTGATTCATATGCTCCAGTAATCTGATCGAAATATCTCACTGGTCAAATCAGGTGGATTGTGTAATAATTTAACCTCATTTGAGCAAACATTTCAACAATTTCATTTCATTTAGCAGATGCTTTGTTCCAAAGAGATGTACATCTGAGAGTAGATCATATCACATCATACACCAGTGGTGACAGAGCTGCCTGCCATCGGGAGTAACTTCAGCTTCAGTGTCTTGCCCAAGGACACTTCCACTGTGGAGGGGATCGAACCGCTAACCTTGCAACTGGTGAACAACCCGTTCAGCCACCTGAGCCACAGCCGCCCGTTTAGCCTGTACATGCAGACTTCTTTGGGCCATGGACCTGTCAGCGGTCCTTATACAATCAAAACAGGCGAGTTCTATAAAAACTCATTCCCTTCACAGTTTTCATGAACAAGAAAATGATAGAGACCAAAACAGTTCTCTGCACCAGGCTGTACACGTGACTATATCTGCGGGGACTGACTTGCTCAGGGAGCCTGTTCCAAGTAGCCATTTGAGGAACTGCAGTTTTTGGCTTCATTACTCAGTCTGCATTACCTTCAGTAATTATTATAGTCAGGTTTTTAGTTTTAGTGAATGCTACAGGCATTCAAACACTACTTTAGTACAACCCTAAACATGTTTAGCACTAAAATAACACCACAGGTAGAAATAGAGCAGCAGCTCCACCTACGTTCTCACTGTTGTGGTCGGCCTCGCTGGGACAGCCGAACAGCTCCCGACGCAGCAGGTTGCCGTCGTACTCCAGAAAGGTAAGGTAGAGGTTCCGGAAAAACTCCACATGCTTGTTCTTCACTCGCAGTTTCTTGGGAGAGTTCCAGTGGATCACCTGTTCAGGAGAACACGGAGTGAAGAGCAGGGGAGAGCTGATCAGGAAACGTGTGACACTGGCACATTCAGTTGATGCTATGGTAAGAAGCAGAGCTGTGAAGCAGGTACACTCCACCAAACCTGCTCGTGGGATCTGAGCCGCTGACAAAGTTGTTTTCCATTTGTTTCTGCTGTCCCTTGTACAAAAACACTGGAAACACCCTCAGTCATTCACTGATGTATTCATCAGGCCTCTTTGGAATCTGTCACAGCATCTTCATGATTATTTTTCATTTTTCATTCCAGATACTTTCACACACGACACATTAAACAGCACGGTCACACTTCCCTTTATGAGCTGGTGTGCAGCTCATGCACCGCATTTCATGTCTTTTGAAATATTTTCTTCCATATTTGTAATAAAAGTCTTTTAATAGCATTACTCAAATAAATTACTCAGATTTAACCTTCATCTACTTCCGTGCACCTTCAGCTCCACCTCCACTTCTTCTTTCAGCACCTGCACCTCAACTAGCACTCCAACGGTTTATGTTCATCGTTGTCACAGTTGCCTGAATCTAAAGAACACGGTTAAAGCCCCGTAAAGCTAACACATGGACACAGTTTCAGATGTGATTATTTGATTATACAACTTACTTTCTATAATAACCACAACCTGTACTCAAGACTTGTGAGTTTTTAAATGTGAAAAACAGCATAAAAGACAGGTGCATCCCTTGGGGGGGTCACTTGCCAACAGGTTTATTTCTGCTTTTCTGTCGAGGTAGCTGTTGAGGTAATGAAGTGCTGAAAGTCATTAAAGGATAGTTTTATGATGAGATGTTTCTCTGCATCACGTGTGAATGTGTCTGTGTCTTTTTGTCCACAACGTCTTCACTTTGTGCCTGTTCAGTTCTAAGGCCGTCCACAGCTACTTATCTGGTGATATTTGGATACCAAATCATGTTTAGTGCTCGCAGCAATGATATTCACTGAGCCACAATACTCAATTAATGAACAGTAAAAAGCAGATCCAGGCATTACTGAGCATTATTGGCGCTCTGAGGTGTAAAAAGGCCAAAATAAATGTGTACAGATGGCTGACTCTCTGGGAGCCGGCTCTCTGTTACATTAGGTGCATTTCCATATTGAAGTGCAGCTGACAACGGAAGAATGAGCTGTCTGATCAGCAGAAACAACGATTAGTCCCACAACTGTGAAGTTCTACGTTCTGTCTGTCCACATGTGTTGTATGCATATATATATATACATATATATATATATATGAATGGCATCATTGTCTGCCTACTGGGAAACACCAGCAGCTCCGTGGGTCTCCTCAAGTCTGCAAAAAACTAAACGATTTTGTTCTGCCCTAAAGTAGAAGCCCCTGTGTGTCACTGAGTGTGGGTCTGGCTTGAGATTGTTGATGAATGCAGGTCAGGTGTTGTCTGTCTGAAGTGACTGAGCGTGTGCACGGTGGCAACAGCAGGGTCTCACCTTGAGGTCTGACACGTCTTTGTAGCATTTCTCCGAGCGGGTGTGGTCAGACAGCTGGACGTTCCAGAAGCAGGGCAGCTGGTGAACCAAGAACGGGTTCTGTTTGATCACAGCGTTGAAGATATCCTGCAGACACAACACACACACTTAGCCTTCTGCTTTGCCTTATGTTTCATCATCTACAGGCCAGCGCCACAAAGACCCAGTCTGAACCTGCTGCCTGTCTGATGGCCACACAAACTCTGTGCAATCTCAAGAGGCAGATTCCACAGATTAAATTACAGAGCAAGTTTTTTAAAGGTTCTTTTTAAACAGAATTCCTTAAAGTGCCATGTTTTAATTGGCTGTATGTCATCATCACATCCACATCCAGTCTGGAAAAGGGCTCTAATCTGCTCTCATTGGAACCTTCATTAGGAACAGCAGACTAATAACTAGGTCAAGCCTCGCTTTGCTCCCAAACAGCTTCACTTCTTGGTCACATGGATTCATTCATGTGTTTGAAACATTCCTTTGAGATTCTGCTGCATGTTCATATAAATGGTCAACGGTCTGCACTTACACAGCGCTTCTGTCCAAAGTGCTTTACAGTGTTTGTCATTCACCCATTCACTCACACATTCATACACCAGTGGTGACAGAGCTGCCTGCCATTGGGAGCAACTTCAGGTTCAGTGTCTTGCCCAAGGACACTTCGCCTGTGGAGGGGATCGAACCATCAACCCTGCTCTGCCACCTGAGCCACAGCCGCCCTGTTCATATGACTCTACTGCTGCTAATCTTCTGCTCTGCCAAAAAGGTGTTCTACTAGATTCAGGTGTGGTGATTGACTCAATGCCTCATTCATAAAACCAGGTCGACTGTTGCTTTGTGACAGGGTGCATAAGAGGACAGCAACCTGTTGGCAAACTGCACATGGTCAACAACAACACGGCATCCGGCTAAGGCAGACAGGACGGCTTCATGGCTTCGTGCTGCTGATTGTGACCTACCGTCATCTTCAGCTGCTCAGCGTTGTTGAGCTTGTTCCCACTGCAGCCTCAAATGTCTGTTCTGGGCTGACAGGAGTGGAACCTGACATGTTCTGTTGCTCTGGTGGCTCATACACTTAAACGTTGGACATGTTGTGAGTCTGAGCTTCTTTTTCGCTCAGCCCACTTGTAAATAGTGTTTATCTGAGTTTCTTTAGGCTTTCTGTCTGCTCCCACCAGTCTGACCTCCGACCTCTGTCATCAATAAGGAGTTTACATCCACAATATCACTGCTTACTGGATGTTTGTATTTCAACACCCTGTACAAACTCCAGAGACAGTCGTGGTCAAACTCCAGCCCGCATGACACCAACAATCAACTGGGTCACTGAGATGATAAGTTTTCTCCATCCTGATGCTGTGATGTAAACGTTAAGTGAAGATCCTGACCTGTGGCTGCAAGACTTCGCTCCACTGCTGCCCCGTGACTGGCTGATTAGACAATTGCAGATGTTCCTGATACAGTGTAAATCATCTTCAGGTCTTCACTGAAGCTATATGAAGGCTACTTTAAGGGAAAACATGCATGCAAAAATAAAAAGTTTGGCTGTAGAATATGAGACTTTACTGTCAGCTTTACGAGGTCGGCTTTGGAATACCAGCTTGGTCCTGTCTCTTCCCAGCCTTGTTAGTAACTTGTACATCTCAGTCTTTTATAGCTATCCTGTATCTGTAATCACACTCATAAAGTGGAATCCCTCCAAGTGCTTTGAGGAAATGTATTTTTGTTACATCTGGGAGACTTTTTTGAGTTTGAGATCTTTGCAGGTTCACAAGACAAGAGCCTCAGTGACAGATTCCAGCTTCCTAATGGGAGACATAAAAACTCTATAGCCACGTAATGAATGCTGCGATAAAGAGGGTTGACAGTCTATTGGAGGAGCTCATACAGCGGAAGGCAGATGGAATGCTGAAACGATTTCCAAAGCCTGTTCATTTTCCAAACTGCATACCTTGCGGGACTTTACTTAATGAAGGTTTAATTAAAATCTCATAAACGTACTTCTCATCTCATCTAGATGAGCTCTGAATAGCTCAGAGATAAAAGAAAGACCCTTCGTCAGGATCCCAGTGTCTGCCCTTACAGTGTTCCAGATGAGACAGCACACGGAGTCAGATAACTCTTATTTATGACCTTCAACACATATGCCTGAGTGCACTAAAAATGATGTACGAGCTGAGACCTAAACTTCAACTTCAACATGGAAATGAAGTGATCTGGTGCATTCTAAGTGGCAAAAGACAAAACTGCAGGTTTTTTTAGTTTGTACCTTTGCTGAAGATCAGAGGAGAACAGATGCACAACCACAACACAACAGCTGCAGACACACTGGAGAGGATTGGAGTTCCACTGTAAATACATTACAGTATTTGCCTTTTGGCCTAAATGAGAAATTCAAGTGCTAATTGTTGCTGCGAAGCCATATGCCACCTCAGCTCCCCCTTCAGCTTCTCTCAGCTGTACTTGAGAATCGCTGCAGCTACAGCTTCATTGTTTTAGAGCAACACACGCTGACTGAATCATACAGCATCACACAGCACATGACATGAGTCCAGGGAATCATGTGCACGGCAGGTTACTTTCTAGCTCACTATGTACAGCACTGTATGAAGGTTTAAGGCGAAGTAAGAACTCCATGAATAGTTTCTACTGATCAGGTAACTTATTACAAAGTGCAGCAAAGAGATAAAATCTAAATTGGATCCATACTCGGTGTGAGTGCAGCTCTCCTCGGTACATTGCACACAGTTTGCTCAAACATCCCAAACCTTTAAACCTTTGGAGGTAAATGTCCGAGTGAGGGTCTGGACGTCACTGGTAGGTGGTTTGGATTGGACTAAATGAGCAGATGGATTTGAGCGTGACCTTCTGAGTAAAGCATGATCTTTCCCTCATCTTACTGGGAAATTCTACTGACTTCACACATCAAAATGTTTTTCCAGGTGTTGGGGAGCACCACTGTAGATGTGAAAAGCAGAAAAACTTCTTACTTTAGGTCACATTCGGACGGCACATGGTATGAAGTCGTGCATCTGAAGCAAACACAAGCCGTCACTGAAGCTTAGCTGGTCAGCAAAACGGCTGAAACCATGCGGCTTTGGCTGAGTCGAAAATATATTGTCAGGCAGGTTGCTGCTTTCAGAACAGGTGCTTCTGTGGTTTGCTCGTGTGCAATGACAAATTTGCCAAGAGGTACCATATTTGCAGGCCAGAGGAGCGAGGATGTGTGTGTTACCTGGTCTGCCAGAGAGGTGGACAGCATGCTCATTAGTTCCCTTTCTGCCGTCAGCCTCCACATCTGCTCCCATCTGAGCTTCCGCAGTCGATCCAGGAGAAGCAAAATAACCCCTGGAAAACAAACACACGCACACATGCACAACTCAGACACGGGTGTACAGTCAGAGATATGGTAGCTTAAGAAACAGAGAGATTTGTATCTAGCTGCCTGGTAAAGGTGATAAAGTCCTATCATGAGGCACAGAATCGCAGCCTTGTGTTTTCAGAGATAAAGCTGGAGACTTTCTGCTTAAAGACCAACTGATGCTGGGTGAAGAAGAGATATAAAAATCCTCCTGGAAACACAAATCATACTTAGAAGCTTGCTTTTTTTCTGATAACTTCCCCAGCCCCCTGACAAACTGGAAAAACAAAAACTTATTCTTGGTTCCCTGGGTAATAAAAAATCTTCCTGGCTGCTACAAACAAAATCAAGCATCCAATTTTCAGAGGGAGAGACATGGTGAATTATTTTTCAGATCGGAGCAAACAAACCATCTTTCACACCCCGCTGTGCTCCATCTGTTGCCACGGCCACGGCCACAAAGCCGACCAACCGCAGCTAAACTGGAGGCTTTCTGTCAGATTGCTGCTCTGAGCGAATGCAACACGTGGCTCTCCGTTTCTGACATCTGCCATTCAGTCACACTGACAGGACGTTAAGGAGCACAGCACTGAGGTTTTACAATGCACAAGTGGTCAGGGGAGTTTTACGCTGCTCCCACTGAAATGAGCTGCTGCAGCGGCGGCACTGTTTGTTTTGGGTTATAGTCAATAGAAAGATTATCCTCCTGCTCCGAACAGCACACAGAGAGCTGAATGCCTCCTGAAGGAACAGACTGCTGGATCGGATGGAGGTAAAAAATATACAACCAGGGAGAAATAATAACAAGGTGTAATGGAATCCAATCAATTCCAATATCAGCTGCACTGAGGTTAGTGAAACGATATCCCACACCTCTTTAAAAATGGTTTTCCATACAACATACAAACCCGTGGATGCTGGCGTATTCCATCAGTGCCTATGCAAATGCACTCCGTTTTAGAAAAGATAAAAACAGCCTCACTTCTGCACACACACAGGAATGAAAAGGGAACAATGAAATGTTTCCCTGTTTCAGATGTAGATGAACATCACCTCAGACACCAAATTACAATCACAGAGACAAAACCGTTGATTACAATTTAAAACTAATGGGATGTATATACATGTATAGTCTCTACTCTGTACACATGGACACGTAAGAAGTGGGCAATATCAATACAACTGTACTTTACAAAGTCATTTAAGAGACTTGTTTCCACCACTTAAAAATAAATAGTCTGATTGATTTAATATTAACATCAGTAAGGTAATATTAGGCATAATATAAATCCAGATTTCGGGCTCAGTTGATTGAAAACTGTTGCATTAATGCTGATGTTGAGCCCAAATGTCGCAACACATTCAGTGATACTGATGACAGCACTAACTCAATATAAACGATAATGCTGCCTACTGAAACACTGTATTTGAACGTTTGGTGGTGGCAGGAAGTTACACGATGTATAAGCTGACAATCAAACTGTGACTGAAATACCTGTGCAGCTGCAACACCACAAACAGAAAACTATACATTGTCCTGGAGGAGGAGGACTTAATGCATTGCATGTCCGTATAACAGACTGCAAGGTGGCTCGGTGGTTAGCACCGTCGCCTCACAGCTAGAAGGTCGCCGGTTCACGGATGTCTGCATAACAAAACTGTTCTTAAATCCAACTTGTGCGAGGGGCACACAGGCTTGTATCATGATGGACAGAAAACCTGAAAGGAAATGCGACGCCCTAAAAGGCTCATCATCATAAGTTCAGTGTGTACACGGCATCATGTGCTGTCAACTTAACCAACAAGGTTCAACTTCAGGTTTAATCGCTGAATAAGTCGTTTCAGCATCTAGACACATTTATTATTAAGTTATTGGAGAATTTACATAAAACACATTTTTAGATTTTTTATTTTTTGGGAGTGGGCGGCTACTTCCTCAGACGTCTTATTCATAACACAGACAGCTGCATGAAAATATTACTTCTAGTATAATGGACAAATAGAAGCAGAAATAACAATACAAACAACAACATAATCCTAAATATTTGACTGAACTGAAGAGGAGCTCATCTGAGAACAAAAAGCAGGAACTAGCAGATAAATAAGTGATCACTACTTTAGAATCAAAGCAAATAAAAAGGATATAGCTACCTCTCTGTATGTATAGACTCTCTGTATGTATAGGCCAATTTCTCTCATATAAATAAAGAGTTTTTATGATTTCATTTTAGTGTCTGAGGTTATGGAGATTCATCTGACAGTTTGTCAGAGCTCCACAACACAAAAACACAGTTTCACACAGGATTTAAGTCTCAAATAAGCTCAAATACAAGCGTAATGGACACGTATTCATCCTCAGCTATCTGCTACAGGACGCTGGGTCCAGTACAGCGTTTGGGATCCTGCAGTGGCTGTCAGTATATTTACACACTCACATTCACAGAACAGAAGTTTTAGATCACAAGTTCCACCTACAATATTGTGACAGTGCACCAGCTGTTGTAAACCAGCTCCAGCATGCTAATAAGGCCAGCCTATAAATCACTGTGTGGTTTTTTTAGATCCTGAATGACGAGTTAACTCACACTACATGTTTAATGCAGCAAATTCTTACATTCCCAAAAAATACATAAATAAAATCTACTGTTCTACCAAGAAATTATGCAATTATGGTCGATGGTGTAGGTGATATGATTCTGAACCATTTGACATTTAATTGATATTGCACAGAGGAGTACTTACCTGTGTTGTATACTGTATGTGTGTCATGAATGAGATTCACACTTTATGGATGAGTGCTGCTGTGGCCCAAACACACCTGGTGAACAAAGATAGCGTATCTTCGCTCACCAGGTCTTCCAGGTCTGGACATGAACACATCTAGAGTGACAGTAAAACCACTCCGGCAGTGGAACCCAACAATGCCACCAGCTTTAAAGACACTTCAGTCTTCCGAGGTCTTCCTGCTCCACCACCATCTGCAGAACGTTCTGAGCCCTGCAGCTGTGACTGTCCATAAACACGACACTCTAGAATCCTGTGCTTGTAGCATGCACACTGGTTTTCTTTATTCAGTTTAGTTGATATAATGCGTCCGTCTCTGCTCTCACTACGAGCCCACACAGACCGGTCTAAGCTTACAGTGTAGTACGGAACTGGGACCCACTGTGCTAACACGCCAACAGCACACCATCATGTACTCACCAGTGTTGAAGCCTCTGCCCAGGGCCGGCCAGGGTCGATGGTTTTTCCACAGGTTCCCCAGGTACCAATCACTCTGGTTCTCCACCAGACCCAGAACCTGCTGACCTAAACACAACAAAAACAACACCATGAGGGCCTCTCCCCACTTCCACTCCATCAGCGACCAGCAGTTTCCTGTCAGTATTGCATATCTTTAAACGTTCAATGGTCCGTCCAAGTTGGTTTCATCTCTGAGTCGATAAAAAAGAGATGAGAACAGAGATGAATCTGGATACAGGAGGCAAACCTGCACACTCTGTTGCTGTTAGGAGAAACAACTGTGTCTAACGTAATTATAGAAAAAGTTTGTATGAAAACAGTGATTCATAACACCTGAAATAGCAGCCATGGAATGTCCCAGTTCAACCAGTTAAAAACACAGAGGGGGTGGTGGGAATAACCCTGGATGATGATCCCATTTGGTACTCACATGACCTGTACCTGGATGAACCTGAAGGGACGCATGTCACAGCAAAGGACTTTGTGACTCTTTTAACTAAGAACAAGAGTGAGAAAATGGGTAAGGAAATTAGTAGAGATATTACTTTTCAGGTGTTTGATTGGTCTTCCTAATGTGATAGCACTGGTATGTACAAATATATGACAAGCATCATTGCAGCTCTGTGATGCCAGGTCCATATCAATGCAATCTTTTCGGAGGAAGTCAAAAAGGAGTAATGGATGCAGAAATGGACGCAGAGCTGTATGATTACATTTAATTGGAATTCTAAATTAGATTTTTCGCCGACACAGATGAGCACCTGGAAGTGTTGGGAAGGTCTTATTGTGAAGTTTCATTCAGTATGTGCTCCAGCTTACCACAATACTTTGAGATTAAAGTAAGGAAAAGGATGTGAATGTGAATTTGTGTGCAAAGAGTGTCTGTTGGGCTCTAAAGGTTAACTTGTTTGTACCAAAGGTCGGATGTCCTTGAGTGGCATCCTTCCACTGAGGTGGTGTTCAGATGACACTCAGGTGGACTCGGGTGGTGACCTTCTCAACAAGTCCACTTATAGCCACTGTTCAGCTGCTACAGAGTTCGCTGTGACTCGAGTTTTCATCGTCCAATCAGTAGCGCTGTGATACTGGGACATGTGGGATCGGAGCTAAGTTAAAGTGTCAGAATCAAATACTGATCTTATGCAGAAAGGGAATTTCTCAGCATCAAATCAGGATAACAGGGTTTATAAGAGAGCAGCGCAAGGCAGGGCACTCTAAAACTCTTTATGAAAACTGGATCAGTTGCATCCAAAGCAGGATCAGACAGACCAAAAGCCAGCACACCATCAGAAGATCAATACAAGTTTTATTCAGTGAGACAGAAAAGCAGCTTCATTACAGATACAAACTGTACTAAGTGAAGGCCATAAGACTCTCAGCAAGGCTAATCAGCACAAGTCCCGCCAAAAGACGCCCGTCTAGGAGTTCCTCAGAGGATGAGTGACATCTCTAAACTACTTCTCAGGAGGGCATAGAGACCAAACACTCAGCTGATTATATGTTTCTGACAGATATATCAGTATTGGCATATATTTTGTCAATGAACTGACTGCAGCACAGGAAGACATGTTGGGGGGATTCTGAAATGATGTCTCTCCTTCACTGGTTTCCCAGCAGAGAGCATTTTGCATTATTTCCTTATGCCACATGTGAAAATATTAAATGCATTAAAAACATCAACCAGTGGATATTTTATTTATTTATTTTTTTTAAGTCAAATGTCACCATGATTTACAAATTCACCAGCTGCTTTCAATCACGCCTGCCTTTGCCTGTTTGGCCGACTACGACACTAGTCTCTCTCTCACACACACAACACTTGTTGGCTGGAGTCTATCCCAGCTGACTCAGGGTGAAGGCAGGTTCACCTGGACAGGTAACCAGTCTATCACAGGGCTACACTTAGAGACAGACAACCAAGCACACTCACATTCACACCTACGGACAATTTACAATCACCAATTAACCTCAGCATGTTTCTGGACTGTGGGAGGAAGCCGTAGAACCCGGAGAAAACATGTAAACTCCATGCAGAAAGATCCTAACCAGGACGCGAGCCAGGGCGTAGCTGTGAGGTGATGGTGCTAACCACTGAGCCACTGTGTAGCCCTAAAAATAATCAGTTTGTTAAACTGAACAAGTGTGTTAGAGCAGTGAACATGACATGACTCCTGAGATTCTGGGATTAGTGGTGTAGAAATGTACATCATACTTCATTTATGAAGGTATGATGTGAACACTGAGGAAGCCCTTCAACAGCAGAATGAAAGTGATGCTGAGCAGGAAACATGTCGACTAAACATGATCCAACATAAAGACGATCAAATTAGGAAGAACAAAGATCTGTCTACAGTTTAGGTTGATGAAGGCCACTACTCAGTGATCACATTGTAAGATATCATCTTAAAAAGGAACTATGAGCTCAATAAAGACATCACTGTTTTTATCTGAAGATAAGAGGACAACAGAGACATGCTCTCTGGATAATTGCTGGTTCTCGGCTTCCCTACAGCTTGGACTGTGTGCAGACAGAAACAGAGGTTGGAGGAGACCAGAGGCAGACACTTCAGGGTCAGCTAGTTCAACACAGAGCCTGCAGGAACATAATCCCTTCATAAAGTGGGCTTTTATGTCGGAGTCAACGACAAACTGCCAGAAAAGTTTAACTGCCACCCTGCAGATGATGGCACACTGCTGCCATGAGCGGAAGGAAAAATTGAATTCAGTACTCGACTCATACGAATTTAAAGTTTTTGAGCCTCGACACAAAAGGTATAAAGAAGACAGGAAAGGAAGCGGAATAAAATAAAGAAAGCGAGATGGTGAAGATGAGGGGATGTTAAAGGAAGAGAGGTACGTCTGGTTTAGGGCGAGAGATTATGGAAGGCAAGCTGGGCAGAGATAAAGGTCGAGGAGATAGGCATTAAGGAGGAGATAGGAGCCTGGAGAGAAGGGCATGGGTGTAGTGGTGGCAGCTTTAATGAAGGCTGTAAGGAAGATTAATGAGAGCTTATTGGAGCAGGCGGCAGAGAGCAGGCAGCGCCTTTAGAAAGGCTGCAAAACAAAGAACACAGACCTGACATCAAGGTGACGACTGAATGCGACAATTAGAGCTCAAACACAAAACGCTGCTCCTTTCACTGGGACGTCACATCGATACTCGGGTTTAGGTGATCAGATAGCATCGTTTATAAAGGTTAATAGATTTTAATAGAATAAAAGCAGGAAACTGTGTGTGTGATTAACTACAGCTCATGACATCTAACTCAATTCCACGAAAAGCACACTGTTGGATTGAACCACAGACTGTATAAAAGATGGACGTAGCAACCGGCCCTGAAAAATGAAGCCAACCCAGAAGTGTCAAAAACCTGCAGCATCACTACGTCCACTAGCTGCTGGCTCCACAAAGCCCTGGCTCCCATAGACTGGAATTGGAAAAGTGATCACAGATCACCAAATACTGCATTCCTACAGCTCATGATTGTTTTCTTATTAGTTTTCATGGTCAAATCCAGAGATCAGGTGGCCAATCTGAAAATAAATCAATAGTGAATTTTTAAAAATCGTCAACATTTTGCGGGGCAAGGGGCGTGGCTGGCTTGATTGACAGTCGGCAGCGACCGTACAGATGAAGCGAGCAGAAGGCGGTAAATGTGGGAGGGCAGAGAGGGCCCGCCTCTCAATCCGTCTGACCAATCGCTGCTCCTATGACTCCGCCCCCCTCCAACGATTTTTGTGTCACTGGCTCCAAAAATCCAAGATGTCAACCAGGAAGCAGCAAAACCCTGGCTTCATGTTCTCAGTGCAGAAACCAACGGGTGACGTCACGGTAGCTACGTCCATCTTTTATACAGTCTATGGATTGAACTCACCAGCAGTCATTCAGAATCATATCTACTGTTGGTCCATTAACAAACATCTGATCCTAAAGGTGCCCATGTTTTGTATAGGGGGGTACAGAGTCCACACAAACACCAGACCAGCACGATGCCTTCGGACTGCAATCACAGGAACTCAGCATGTGGTCAACAGTCGAGAGACAAAAGCAAAATGACATTTGATGAAGAATCTTTCTCCAAAGCTGACACCTGATTCTGCCCCCCCACCGCTCACACCACTGGTCCGGATCGGTTCTGGTAGTTCTAATATTGCACTGACCGTGTTAAATGCTGAGACGTGGGAACACAGTGACGTTAGCACCATAAAGTCCAAAGGGTCAGGAAACACGAGCAGTCAGATGAACTGAGTGCACTTACAATGTCACTGATGTGCATGGGAACACTGAGCACACATGCAGGAGCAGGTCAGAGCTACCCACTGATGCTATGAGTGAACTAACTAGCAATGTTTGAAAAAGCCCACAGACTGCTGCACTGTTATCCTGAAGGTATCGCTGAAGTCCTCAAAAACTCATGTGTCAACTTAGGAAAAAGTAAAAAATCTTGTTTAATCATTCAGCGGAGGATGTTTTTTCTTCTGGGCAGTGAGAACAGTGTTTGAGGATTGTGGAAATCCGTCAAAAGAAAGGTTCAGGTTTGTGCTAACGAGATAAACTGCACTGTGAATGTGTACCTGCATCCCCCAGCCTCCTCCAAACAGATAGTTTTCTTAATTTGGTCTTTGCTGGATTTATATTTGATTAGATTTTTTTTCAGTTGTTATTGATCAGTGCAGCTTTCTTTAAATCCCCATTCTTTGCGGTATAGTTTATGTTCCAGAGCAGCAAACGAGACAGGCACTTCGACAGGCCTGGCTTCTTACAAAAATCTTTGACTAAATCCAAACATTCACAGAGAGAAAAACTGATGCGCAGCTGACCGTGAAGTCTCAACCGCTCGCTTTCTCAAAAACAGTCAGATATTGGGTTTCCAAGTCAGCGAGCCATGACAGGCATGAAAAAAGGAAAGTAAATCAATACAGCTCCACTTAGTTTCATCAGAAAGGAAAGGCCCTGCTTTAGAATATCTTCCTGAGAATATCCCATCGATACAAAGCCGTTCTCCATCCCTGCTCTCGATAGCCAGCCAAAGCTGTCAGACGCTGCATTACATTTTTTAAATCCT